GATAGATAGATAGATAGATAGATAGATAGATAGATAGATAGATAGATAGATAGATAGATAGATAGATATAGATATATATAGTTATGCATGTAAGCAATTATTAAGTAGGGGCTAGAGTACAACATTCTTAAAACCCACTCGAGTGTGGAATTTTGTATGCACTTATACCAAGAGAGAAATAACTGGGCATTTATGTGTATGATCCTGACTACAATTGCCTTTCCCTTCAGACCTGTCCTGAAGAATTCTCCAGCTACACCAAATCTTCCATCCAAAAGGCCATCTATCCTGAACTTGTAACATAATGTTACAAAGATGATTTGTAAAAGATGATTAATGTTGAAGATTCCATATTTGATATATTACAACACCGGGAATCCAACTAATGTTTTGCTTTCCTAGTAATAGTTTAAATAGATAGGTCAATGCCTATTAAAATTCATGAATATACCCACTGTCAGGCCTACAAATGAAAAGCTGCAGTCTTTCGTTAGCAGATAACAGTTCAACCAAATACAGCTTGCAAACTACTTGGCTCGTGGAGGGCGACAATCAATATGTTCTTTGTTCCATCTGGGATAGAACATAAACAGAAGGAATGAATGGAACTCAACGTTCCAGGCTCCACTTTTAGCTACAGATCATGAACCAAATTAACCTTTTAATTGCAGTTTTCATCTTATCCCAAACAGATTTTTGTACCATACCGCGGACTATTTCAAAGTTGCCTAAGTTGTTAGTGGGCGAAGAATAAGAACCAAACTCATGTTCTGAATCTTTAACCTAGAGATTAAAAGAACTATACCTTTGTAAAAGTAACTGGAATGCTAGCATCAAGTTGAATGTGGTCTGCAAGTTCTGTGAATTGTTGTTGTTGTTTCTGCAATGTTTCTAAAAGCCTTGTAATCTCTTGTTTAGCCAAAACAACTCTACAGTCATCCTAAAAAGGGAAGCTAAATTTAGTGTAATAAGCACAGAATTATCTAAATATTAGCGTTCTCAACATATAACAGAATGGGAAATTGTTCCAAGATGGGTGAATTCACAGTCCTTGCACAGTACCTTTTTTTTGGCCCACAGGCCCTCAAATCATTTTGCCCACATTTGGCAATAGAATGGTTGAATTTCAGTTGCATTCCTATCCCAATCCCACCTAAAATAAGTGAAAATCTCACTTTTTCCCATTCTGGTAAGGAATTGATGGTGAAGGAGGAGAAGGGAAAATAATTAGAACAGGTAGTTTACAATACAGTTGAAATGATATTCAGTAACACTGCAAATTAGGATATTAATCGGTAAAAAACAACCAACAGGAACAGCAATAAAAATGCAATCCAGTGCTAAAGCCAAATTGATAACAACCACAAATACATTTCAAAAGCTCAACAAAAGAATTCTGACTTCAAAGCCTTACATAAAAATTCCAAGTTAAATGCTGATTAAATCTCTTGTGGAATGGTATTGCACAAGATACCTCCACAGAAAAACACGGCTTCTGGGCCCATACTATTCTCACTTTCCCCATGCTGGTTGGTAGTTCTTTCTCCCTTCTTTCCATATGTCACCAAAGTCATATAACTCACAGCTATGCTTATTAATTTTGAGATTATATTTGATTGTTATTGCTGTTGTATATATACATTTTTTCTGATGGATTAGATTAGTGTAACAAAGTTAAAAAAAGATCTGTAAAAAGATTCCAAAACTTGTTAAGAAAGGCACATTAAAAAGATGGAAGAACGAACAGAATTTAAATTGGAATTGTTTCTATTGGAATAGTTAAATGGAATTATAGAAAGAAGATTAAATATATTTCATTACACATTCTGACGGCTTCAAGAATAATATACGCACAATGTTGGAAACAAAATAATTTGCCTACTTTAATTGACCTTATAACTTAAAGAGAAAGAAGAGTCGGAGTATTATGCAATTTGGGACAATGGGTATAATTGGCCGAATAATAGAAATAAAGATAAAAGTAAATGATTGTATATAAAGATGTAGCAATGTAGATATTTGTACGAGATTGATGTGTAGAATAATTTGTATAATAATGACACAATACTGTTAAAGTCAAGATTAATGTGTGTTAAAGTTGAAAAAGAACAATACAATCATTTAAAAAAATGAAACTTCAATGCTAGCAGATTTAGATTAAAATTATTTTGAAACAGAAATAAATACAACTGTTTCATAACACATTAATATAAAAAACTACAAAGACAGTACATTGTTCATAAAAACTTTTGTCTCTGAAAGATCAGAGCAGCCCCCTATTGGAAACAAGAAAACAAGTTATGTTTTGTTCAGTTGAAAGAATACAAGCAAATTGCTGGTCAATACTCAAAACGTTTTTAACTAATTTCTAAAAGTTTAAACAGAAAACAAAATCAGTCAATTTTAGTTTACTTTTATACATTTTGGACACAATGGTATTTAAATTTTGTTTAATAATTACATGTTTTAATAATCAAGTTTAATATCCTTCATAAACACTTTTACCCAGTGGAATCCACAGAGGCATATGACATGTGTGTAATGAGGTTGTCACACAAATACCACAACCTATGTATTTGCATCCAAAATCACTATCCTATACTGCAGATGCTGAAGTTTATACCTCGAAGTTTTCTTAGGTATTTATATCACTTCAGAAGTAGGGTCTCAAATATTTTAATAAAAAATAAACCTTGACTAAAACTCAAGTTTTAATTTGAACTTAACTTCAATCAGTTGCTTGTGACATTTTTGTTATGCTTTTTGTCTGGAGGATCCTGTCACCCACTGCTATTTATTTTCAGTAAAGCCAACTTATCATTCAATAACAAAATCTGTAACAAAATGAATGCAATTTGTCCAATATTTATTATTTACAAATTGTACAATATTGGTATCTTGAGAGTTGGCATTTCAAGATATATATAACCATATGTGTCCAATATTGATTTTGGTTATAGTATTGATTCCCTACCTGCTGTAAAGTCTTTTCACAGTGAAGACATGCTGTTGAAACTTGTGATAACAGGATAGTCATATCTTCTTGCTGTTGCCTAAGCCAGATCAATTTTTCTCGCACATGTGCATCTACCACACTAAGTGCCATTTCTTCTTGGCGGCAAAGAGTCTCGTGAAGATCAGAAAAATAGGCTCTGATACATGACCGAGCATTCTCTGCTGTGCCTGGAACCTGAAGTGAGATTATAAAAATCAAACAGAGAGGTTTCAGAGGCACTACGATTATACTAGAGCACTTTTTGTCTTGAATAATATTTCTCTCTGGTGTAAGTTCAACCATATACATCATCATTTGCTACAAAGAGTAGTCATTTTTAATATGTGACCATCCTGCATTATTTGGAGGAAAAAATGAAAGACTAAGAGCAGCAGATTTTTAGTATTACTGTACAAAAAAATAAAAATGCATGACTTTCACATTTCACAATATATTGTATCTCCAATGTTAAAAATGCTGAAAACATTCAGAGTGAAATCAGAAAACCAAAAAATTAGTTTTCTGCCATTCATTTGCACAAAAAATTTTTTTTAAATATGTTTAAAGAAATGAATGAAAATCCCAAAGTGCCTTTGCCCTAGTTTTAAAGTTCTCTGCATCCCAGAAGTTTTTAAATTATGTTTTCAAATTCTCCAAAATCAATTATCTCTTTAATGCTCTTGACATCTGTTTTATTCTACAGATAAAAGTTCCTGTAAAAACTTTATCAACTTTTTAGATGTTCTTGTTAATTTATTTATTGGGAGGGGGCACAAAAAAGTCCATAAATCATGTAACTACCGTAGCATGTGACATATCGGCACTTCAAAAGAACTCTAAAATTAGGAAATGAATTTATAATAAAGATTATGCATAAATTGAAGTACCTACAAATTGCTTACATGTTCTGTATGGGTCATTCCTATACCATCCTCGAAGAGCTGTTCTCCTCCCTCTATTTGTTGTACAATTCCATCTAGTTTCCGAGAATAATCTGAGATTTCTTCTGTAAAAGTTCTTATACAGTGAGCCATATCTAAAATGGAAGCACGGATCTGATTTGCTTCTGGTTCCAAAATACTGTGCTAAAAGAAAAACAAACAAACAAAGCAATGAACATCCTTTCCTGGTTTTTTTCTGATCTGCATTCCATTTGTCACCCATTATAAAATTGGAAACAGAATGTGCAACAGATATGGGAAAGCATACTTTCCAAATTCTTTAACAGCATTAGCTATTATAGGAGTCTGTATATTTTGTTTAATAATATTCTGTATTTGGGTGTTTTTGTTCTCCCCTTGTGTTGTAGTTACATTTTGGGGGGTATGGGGCACTGTGAAGCACAGGAGGAGCTGCATATGTTCTGCTCTAGATTATGAAGGATGAAGAGAGAGGGGCTTAGAATGGAACAGCCATGGACATTTCAAGCTACCACCCAACTGGCTTTCCCAAATGACTGCATTGGGAAAATACCTTCTGTGGTTTTTTTTTTCTTCTTCTGTATTTCCCAATTCAATCTTTTGTTGTTTTCTCCCCCCACAACAAATTTGGTCCCATTTTTTTGAGTTTTTGGAGTGTGATCCTATCAACAGACACAAAGAATCTCAAGGCCTTTGTCATAAATTATTTCCAATATCCCATTGGATTGAAAATAATAAAAAAGGAGATGGTAAGTTTAAAGAATAAATCTCCTTTTTAAAAGGTTTTCTGATTTTGACTGAAGCTTAAAAAAGGACTATTTTATACAGATTGGTCGCTTCTAAAATATTAGAGAGTAACAAGATAAGCATTGTATATAAACAGCATTTCTAATAAAATTACAAACACTCATGCATATGTATCTTACCATACTACTGCAAACAAGCAACTTTAAAGTGATGTTATTGGAATGCATATACATATGACCCACTCAGTCATGTATTAAGAGCTGTGGTGGCGCAGTGGTTAGAATGCAGTACTGCAGGCTACTTCTGCTGACTGCCGGCTGCTCAAGGTTGACTCAGCCTTCCATTCTTCCATAGTTGGTAAAATGAGGAGCTGCATTGTTGGGGGCAATATGCTGACTCTGTAAACTGCTTAGAGAGGGCTGTAAAGCACTGTGAACTGGTATATATGTCTAAGTGCTATCGCTATTAATACAGATGGAAATCAAGAATGAAACCTACTTTATGACCCTGGTGTTTTCCGTATTCTTTGCACACGCAACACATGAGAGGATTGGCCTGACAACCTTCTTCCAAGCACACAAATTCAATGGCATGCACTTGGTGCTGAGAACACATCGTCTTTTCATGTGGCTTATCAGCAAGGGGAACACGTCTGTGTTTTGCTAGTGTCTTTGTAGAATGTGTAAGGTGGGAACAGTCTGTACACAGGTGAGTAGCACAAACAGTGCAGTACACAGAAGCCAGATGAGTGTCATCTTCATCACATCGGATGATGCACTAAAAACAAAGAAAAACCAGCAATTAAAACAAAATCTAAATGTTTATATCTTAAGTATTTTGAGATGAATCCCTACAAATATAGTTAAGACAGTTCAGGCCATTTCCCCCCCAAAAAACTTTCTTAAAGATCTTTATCAGATTTATTATATAGAGAGAGATACTAAAAAGAAAGAAATTAAAGACCATTATTAAAAAAAATCTTGTCCTTCATTCTCACCAATCTAGCTGTTCTAATGACCAAATAAGAGTAAAGCAGTGGGCCTCAACTTTTTGGGCACCGGGGACTGGTCCATGAAGAGAAGTTTTTCCTCAGACTAGAGGGGGTTTGGTTTCATGTGCTGCCTGCATCCCGCAGATAGGGCTTTGCTTGTTTGCATGGCCCAGTTTTTGGCATGCTGCAGCCCAGTGCCACTCCACAGCCCGGGGATTGGGGACCCTTGAAGTAGAGCACCTGATATTAATTTTAAGAAAAATGAGCAGGATTGTCTTGTTTAGAAAATGTGGCTCAAAAGCCATTTATCCAATTAAAACAGGGTAAAGAACTTATGATCATCCACATTTTGCTGAACTATAATTCTCAGAATTTCTGGCCACTGGTGGTGCTGGGTAGGGCTGCTAGAGTAATAACTAAGAAATGTGGAGAGCCACAATCCTATTCAAAGGTGCTTTGCAGTATTTTCAAATAATTCTGGAGATGAAATTAGAAGCAAAAATGGCTGATATTTAATGGGTGCAAGATAGTCACATTTTCTGGCAGGTGCATTTTGCATCAACCAGCATTTCTGAGATAGATTCGAGGCAGCTCAATCAAAATACATTACAACAATCCATTTTAAGGTAACATAGCTAAAGAATAACTTACTGCAATTATGTTTTAATACTTTTAAATTGGGCGTCCACTAGAACATTACCTTTGCCTAATATAAGGCATTCCTTGTGAACTTTCCAAAGATTGCATTTCAACTTAGCCACAAATATTTTTTGACCTACAGCCACTTCCTCACATTCTTTATGCACACAGGTTTTACACCCTCATACACCTTTCTTAAACTGCACCTCTTATGCCCCATTTCATGCCCCCTCCCTGACACAAGTCCCTTGCGTACCCCATGGATCCACACATACTCTCCCCACAAATCCTGGCCTCCTCCCTCATCCTGTAGCAGCTACTTACCTGCCTGCAAGCCTAAGATTTTCAATTTCCTGCAGGCTTCCTGCTTCCTGACTTTGGTTGTGGGGAGTTGCCTCAGCTAATGACTATGGCATTTGGCTAATGATGGCAATTGGGACTGCAATGATTGTCATCACTTAGCAATGCAGTTGCACTTTACAACATTGCTTGGTGACAGAAATTCCAGTTGCAATTGCCACTGTAAGTCAGGGGCTATCTACATATGATTAGCAACATCAAATAGCCATTTCTGAATTCCTAACAATTTAAATTGACATGGGAATTGTAAAGTAGATGATACAGTAGTTATTGCGTACCTTTTAGGATGAGCTATTAATAGAAAAAGAAGCAGCAAGCAAGAATATTTTGGTCACATTAGACAAAGGCTTGAGAATCCAATAACAAAGCAGAAGGAAAGAGAAAAAGAAGATGACAAACAGTCACATGAATGGGTTCAATTATAGTGGTGTTGGGTGAACTATTGAAAGGTCAGGTTGGGAAGGATACACCTGAAAAAACTCTATGTGTTGACTAGGACTGATATCAATGTGATTGCACATAATCAATCAACCAACAAAACAATTAATTAAATAAATCAAGGTATCTGAATATACTCCTCTGAATGTGACAATAAAATAAAATGAATTATTATTACCTCTCCAGATAGGCCAATTGTTTCTTCAATCATTCCACACTGACCACCCAATCCATTCTGCAATCGCTCCAGGAGTTCCAACAAAGCAAAGTTTTTTTTCAATCCCCATACACCAGAATCACCTATTTGGGGAAAAGGGCAGAAAATCACCACATGCTGTCACTGAAATACAGCCCTGTATTTTTATTTATTTAATCACTTTACATGGTCATCAATCCTGTAATAGCAACTCTAGTTGGCTATCGTTGGTTTAAAAACTCAATACAAAAGAACAATAATACAAATGGCAACTGAGGATAACACAAATTATCAATAAATTCATGTCAATCTCATTAACCTCCAGAACCTCATGCTCAGAAAAAAGTTATTTATAGCATGATTTCTTTCCTTCTACATTAATTATCCAATTAATGACAGATGCAAGATAAATTTTATCTATAGAAATGATATTGAAAGTAGATTTGCAACTGAAGGCTAAGAGAATTACCAGAAAAGAATGTTTCACTGCATCTGCAAATAAAACTGGTGGAGGCTTTAAAATTTTAAAAGCAAGTGACAAATCAAGAGAAAGACCTAGATATATTTTTCTAGCATTGCTGGCTGAGAAATTTTTGGAGTTGAAGTCCACACTTCTTAAAATTATTAAGGCTGGGAAACACTTCTCCAGAAGAGTTCAGACCAGTTTTCTTAGGAACCTATTCCAAATCCCCTCTTTGTTTCAAATACAATTCTTTCCCATCAAGCAGCATCAGCAGTAGTGAAATCAATGTTTCAACACATATTTTCCCATCCTGAACCAAAATATCCTTTGTTAGTCTTGTAGGCATCTTTTAACTTGTACTGTAACTCTGATTCATTCTGATCCAAACAATAGGCAAAGATGAAGCTCCTTGGATTTTCATTGCACATGCAATACAGGTAGTCTTCACCTTACAATTAATTTCACAGGTACTTGGGTCAGCAGTCACGCAGCTGGCTTTTATGGCTAATATATAAATACACATACACATGAATATATATAATCTGAATAAAATAGTTACGTTCAATTTCCACTTACTAAACAGCGAAATCTTAACTATGTATCAAGGTTTAAAAATACCTTACCTAGTTCAGTAACTTGTCGATCAAAAGGACACCGAACTGCTCTGCCATGGAGAGGAAGTCGAGTAAGACAGTCATGACAGACAGTATGACCACATAAAAGAAGTCTGGGAACTTTGTCTCCTTGCAATGAAAATACATCTTCACAGACTCCACATTCCAAAACCTATAATTAACAGAGGAGAATTGGATATAATTAAATGGATGAAAAAAAGTTCCATTTTGAATGATTAAGGATATCTATGTGGTTTAAACTGATGCAATTAAGAGTGGAAAATGAAGACATCACCAATTTCCTCTTTGTTTAGATGATATAATTCAATCTCAACCTGCAACAATTATTCTGTACACTAATCAGTTTACACCCACATCCTAAAGCATATCAGATCAACAGATTTGGTTCAACTGTTTTTTTCATATATATATATATATATATATATATGAATATATTTATATATATATATATAATATATATAAAATTGTGTGTGTGTGTGTGTGTGTATAAAATCGACTGCCTTCTGGAGTGGAATAATATTTAGGTTTTAAAGATTGTTATTCTACAAAGAGAAAAACCTCAATTTACTAAGGGGATTTCCTCTCTTCATATATTTATAGTTCTAATAACTTGACATGAGGACTATATTTATTACATTTGTGAGGGGAAAGACTTTTTCAAAAATTACATGCCAAGAATAATTCAATCTGAAAAGTGCTGATTGTGTTACTGTCTCTATCACTGTATCTTCCTGAAGTGTTTCACTCATTTAAATTATATCTAATATGTCATCCTGAAAGGACAGGATCCCCTCCCTGGGGGGCAAGAATACTCATCCTTTTTCCTTATTCAGTCTATGAAGAAAATATGAAGAAGCTTCTTGGGTGAGAAGCAAAATGTCTTCTTCCTCAAGGAAAAAAACCTAGTCCAATTAGTTGCCTTTTGAAAAAGCACCTTTGAGACAGCCATGACCTGAATGGTTGAGAATCTCCATAAAGCATATGGGGAAAATATACATATAAAAATATCCGTGGGAGATTCTATTACTGTAAAGAATACGTTTTCTCAGGATGTGAGATAAAACTGATCTGAATTAATCTGATTTGATGGCATAGGTAAGGCGGGGCGTTATCCTACCCCCTTTTGCTCCCACACCGCCTACGAGAATCTACCCAGAGAAATTCCAGTGATTCTCGGGGGATGCTAAGAGAAGAAAGCGAGAAGCGCCAGCGGGGTAAAAAGGACGGATCCTCTCGGTTTTCCATCGCTCGATTCCTGCAGAAGCCAAAATCGAGGACCCGCCCTCTCAGGTTCACTTTCCTCACCTTCACAACAGGCCCCGCCGGACTTCGGCTGTGCCTGTTCCCGGCATCCATCCCAGCGCCAGACCCGATTTTGTTTACACTTAGTGTTGCCATCTTGGACAAGGAAGGAGAACGTCCGAGTGAAAGTGGACTCCACTAGAGAAACCTACAGCGGACGTCCCCCTGGAGACGGAGGTGGGGTAGGAATGCGCGAGAAACGTCACTAAAGAGAGCCGGAGGCGGGCCTACTATAGAGACGTAAAAAGGGGGTTAACGGGGGACTATGGGCATCTTACCACTACGCATGTCTGTTTCTTCTCAGGACGCTACGGAACGTCATAATAAAAAGTCAAAGCTCACCGGAACTACAACTCCCAGAATGCATTGTTTTGATAATCCGTGCTACTCTCGGTAGCCATTAAATATTCGGATTTCGCAAGGATCGTCGGGAATTGTAGTTTCGGAAGAAACTACGGTAGTGATCTGTCTTCCGCGAAGCGCTGTTGACTGAAAATAGTGGGCCAGAAGCAGGCGGGTATTTTATTTATTTTCCTTTTGATAGAGTGGATACGGAGTGATGCGGCGACAGCCCACTTCTGATCTTGACTGAAGAAGGAAAGACCCAAGCGGCGTGGCTGAGGCAATGGATGTGACCCAAGCCAAGCAAGAACATCTCTTGGCCTTGAAAGGTACTGCTAGGTTTTCGACTCCTTGCTAACCGTGAAGCTGCTAGCCTCACCTGGTGCTCTGATTTCCATCTGGTTTAGAGGAGAAAGGCTTGGTGGAAAAAAACCGGTGTCCCACAAATGCGGCATCGATTTTCCTCTTGTGGGGCGCAACGGCAGAAGGAACGCCCTTCTTCCCACTCTTCATTGGTATCTTATTCGGGGCGGACGGTGGGGGTGGCAGGGATGATTGGGTACTAAAAACGGGGAGGTGTGTGAGGCGCAATTCATTAAAGGTGTTTCATTTCATCCCTTCCCGCCAATTTGATCACGGGGGGGGGGAGGGAGGAGGACCATGTTTCCTATGTGGCTGTGCGTATTCGGCAAATGAGGCGGAAAGAAATTGGTTCCTAGTGCTTATTCTCATTTAGCCATAACAGGAACGTGAAGTCTGTTGAGCAATTATACTATGGTTAGTTTATGAAAATAACGCCAGCAGTTTTGTATCTTCTTGGTTGGTTCTCCTCATAAATTATCTTTTATGGGATTATGGATAAGAAACCCCAAATAAAGAACTTGATAACTCTGTTCTGTAAAGCAAATATAGATAGTCCTCAATCTACAACCTTTCATTTAGCGACTTATTGAAATTACAACGGCACTGGGGGAAAGTGATTTATGACTATGTTTAGCACTTACTATCATTGCAGCATCCCCATGGTCATGTGATCAAAATTTAGTTGCTTGGCAATTGGCTCATATTTATGATGGTTGCAGTGTCATATGATTTTGCAACCTTCTGACAAACAGAGTCAATGGGGATTCACTTTACAGCCGTGTTACTAACCGAACAACTGCAAGAAAGGTGGTAAAATTGAGCAAAATTCACTAAACAATTGTCTCGCTTAGCAATGGAAATTGTAGTCGTAAGTCAAGAATCACCAATATCAAACAATTGCCTTCTGCGGTAGGACTTCACTCTTTCTTTGTACCGGGATAGAATTATATATGTTAACTTATGGCTATTTCCCCAGGTTACTATTCTTGAAGAAAATAAATTACTTTTATTGTTTTGAAATGCGTAATTTTTTTTAATGTTAGCATTAAAATAATATATATCACTAACATGTGATAATGTTAATATTACTATTATTACAGTGGTAGAACTAAGCTGTATTAATTAAAATATGTTTATACATATACATTTTTCTTTAAAATTATTACATTTTGCAGAGTGTCCTACTCAGAAGGCAGTTTCCCAATGGGAAAACAATATAACTTGAGATGACAAAAAGCTTATCTGGAGCATATGTATGGAAAAATTAGTTCCTTATTTGTGTATCTTCTTTTCATTCACATTTTATATGCATGAAGATAAAAGTTTTCTGCTGCTTTTTTGATAATTAGTATACCTGATACAACGGCAATAGTTTTAGTGAGTTTAAATAATAAGTCTGTCGAGATTATGGGGAAATTATTTAAATGCCTATTTTAAATCCCTATTTTCAAATTATTGAAAATTTAAAGTTTAAGGTTAGAATCACGTTTTCAGGGTTGTTGCCTGTAAAACATTTCTGCTCAAAAGCTAAGATAATTTATACTAAATCTTTTTTTAAATGTGCAAATGGCTTGTATTTTTTTTTTAGTGTACTAATGCTTAAAGCAGCTTGTCTAGCTTGTTATTTTTAAATAGTCTGGAACTATGACTCCCAGAATTCAAAGCCAGCATAAACAGAAAATCAGGGAATCCTCTCAGGTTGAAGAAGAGTGGCATAGAGAAGATATATATATAGGGAAATGGTAAGACATGAAGCTTAGTTTCACAATATATACACACACACACACACACACACACACACACACACACATATACATATATACATATATACATATATACATATATACATATACATATACA